AGAAGTGGGAGAAGAGCAAGATTAGTTTCACTGCAGCTGTAGCTGATCTGACCTGGTGCAGTACATTCTTCCTCCTTTCAGTCCAACTCCCAATCTCTTCTCTCCCTTGTGCCACTGCTGGTACTTACTTGACTCCACCTCTGTTTTGTTTTTGCCAGCTTTTGCACTTGTCAAATGCCTTCATAGGCCACTTTAATTCACTACCATGGCAAAAAAATAACCCAGAAAGAAAAAAATATGCATATACAATTTCTTCTTTAGTGTGTTAAAGCAGATCAGGAAAGATTCCACCGAACACCACAGCCAGTATAAGCAAGGAGTGATGGGAGCAGAGAAACTGGGAACAAGGCCTTCCTATTTTGGCAGCTGCCTGCTGGTATGTTGTATCAGCAGCCTTGGAACTGCAGCCAGGGAAAATGGAACTACTTTCTTGCTGAAGCTGCTACCTAAATTGGCTCACTGTGGGGTCAGACAGTGTCAGTACCAGCACAGGGCAGGACAGGGAGTGCATGTGGGGGGAGGATGGGATAGAAGCACAGGACCGAAATAGCCTATGCTGACGTTGAATCACTCATCTAGTTTTATTCCTTAAGGCTAAACAATAAACAACTCTCAGATACTGGGACTTATGGAAAAATTCTGAAAATTAATAGGATAACGGGGCATGAAGAGTTACTTAGGCTATCGTTATCTAGGAGAAAAAAAAATAGAAAAAGCAAATTCTAGCCTACAGACATTGATAAGATGAAGATCAGAGTCAGAAATTAAAAGAAAAATTACCATCAGCTCAGAAACAAATCGCATGGACTGACAAGTTATTAGCAAGTTACAGGGAAACATTTGGTAAGGAGAAAAATCAAAGCATCATCCATAATGCTAGTTCTGAGGCCTCATGAGAAGCACAGGCACTCACTGTCAGAAACTGTAAGGACCTTGTTATACATGTAACAGAAGCTGCACCTAGGGTAAAAACACCAATTACAATGCAAGAACATTGCTGCCTTTCCACTGCTCTCTAGTGGGTGGAATCACTCTTGCTTGGAGGTGTCTAAGCTCACCAGCTCACTCAGAAAAGCACCGCTTACAGGTCCTTACAAGGCACACCACCACCTCTGCTTCACCTGTGCATCCAGTTTTGCTCCTCTTGTGATTTACAAGACACTATAGGCTGTCAGAACTCATCTTTGCAGCACTGGCACAGCACCACAAGTGGCAGAGACAACCCAGCAGCATGTCCTGGGGGACATGAGTTTCCGACTGCGGCAGCTCTGCAGGGCAGCTGCCAAGTCTGCTCACACCGATATAAGGCTTCCATGAAATGAACCCTACTCGAATACAGACAATATTCCCATAGATTAATTTTTTTAAGACTCAAAGGGAAGCTCTGGGATTTGCTGCAGCTGAGTTTACAGCCCAGAAAGCTTTGTTTTCCTCTCAGAAAGCCTATTTTAGCATTTCTTGCTTTAAAGGAGCCTTGGGGACTCACTCCTCCAATGGAATCAGTCCAGAAGGCCATCAGAGTATCATTTCATGGCTCTGCTGTAACCCAGACAGTCCTCTTCTCCACTGCTCCATTTTAAAGAGCTGGGACAATACATATATTTCCACTGGCACCTAGGAGCTTACAGCACACATTCACTGATGCTAAAAGGGTTTTATTATTAAGATAAAAAAGCTCAGGTAAATTGAACTATAAAAATACATGGACAGGACAATAATTACAGTGCTAAGAATAGTGAATGAAACACGTTTTGTCCTGTTTTTGTCTGCCACCTGCACCACAACTATTATAATAACTTGCTGTTGTAGGAAACTCACTTATAATGCTGTATGAGCCTTGCTGACAAATAACACCTGGAAGGGTTTTTTTGCCTATAGTACTTGTCAGGTACGCAGTGACCTTCTACATTAACTGCGGTGGCTAAGGTGCAATTATTATGCACAGTTGAGGCACTGACAAAGTATAATAATCTTCTAATTTTTGGCAGGTATCTAAAGGACAACAGCAAGGACAGAAATGCTGAGATAGTAGGGAGACAATAGGTAAAATGTCAGAACAGAGAGACAGATGCAGCCCCACTGGTTACTTGCTAAAACTAAACACCTATTTGAAAAAAAGCTATTTGAATTAAATAGAAAATTGAG